TCAAAGGGAAGAATAGCTCACTGGGGATGGAAGACAATATAAACGACAGAAGCCTTGTGGAGGTTCTAAACTAAGAGACAGCAACTTTCTTTCCTAGAAATGAGAACCCTACCCTAAGCTAGGTTAAGAAAGAAGGAGTGTTTTTATTTAAATCTAATTTCTATTCATTTTTAATAGGAGATACATACACGACTGACAACCCAAAACACACATCCTGATATATGCAGTAAGACCTCTCCCTCCCTCCATCCTCATTCATTTCACCAACTTCTCATCGTGTCTCCAGTCTCCCAGCCCTCCTCTACAGAGGCAGCTAACATCATCAGTGTCTTACACATTCTCCAGATACGTTTAATGCATCACCTGCAAATGGGAACACTTTTTTTTGCAAATATTTTGCTAACCCAGTGACAGTGTTTTAAAATATTCAACAATTAGAGTGTAGAGATCCCTGTCCTCTAGTTTGGCTTCACCGTCCCTATCTTAATCAAGTAGCCTCACTCCACTCCCAGACCCTGCCTGGCAGCACCCATCACCGTGTACTCATTCAGCAAATAGCTCTTGAGTGCCAGGTAGTGTTCTAGGCAAGGGAGGCACAGCAGTGAATAAAACAGACAAATGTCCCTGCTGTCACGGAACTCTCTAGTGGAGAGTTCTCTCTATATCTCTCTAGTAGAGGGAGAGACCAAAATATAGCATTAATAAGTATTTTAGAAAGTGATGAGTGCTATGGAGGAAACAAATGAAATAGGGAAGGGAAATATGAGCTGCTAAGATGAAGAGGAAAGGCCTCACTCAGAAGGAATAAAGGAAATGTGGGGTGAACGTACATCTGCAGGAAGAATGATCTAAATGGAGGGACCATCAAGAGCCAAAGGCCCGAGGCGGGAGCCTGCATTGGCTATTGGAAGAACAGCAAGGAAGCCCGTGTGGCTGGGAAGGAGCAAATAAGGGAGAGAGAACAAGAGATGTGGTCAGAGAGGAACCACGAAGCCAGATGGTCAGTCTTGCAGGCCATTGTAAGGCCTTTGGCTTTCACTGGGGGACTGGTGGGGAGCAACTGGAGAAGTAGACACTGGACCCAGCAAAACCAGCAGCCGCACAGGTGCAGGGTTAGGCCAGGAGCACCAAGCACAGATGCAGTAAATACGGGAGGGGATCAGGTGAACGTTGCTTAAGGAACTGAAAGAGGCTAGGAAGAGTGGAGCTGGGGTAGAGAATAAAACCCCACTTCAACAGGAGAAGAACCTAAGAATAGAAAAGATTCTGCCTCCTCCTTTTATTTTTTTTTAATCATTTTTTTTAAGAGATGGAATCTATGTTGTCCAGGCTGCCAGGCTGGTCTTGAGCTCCTGGCATCAAGCAATTCTCCCACCTCAGCTTTCCAAGTTGCTGGAACTACAGGTGCACACCACTGTGCCAGGCATTTCTGCCTCTTTCTCTTGGAAAATATTCTACATAATCCAGGGACCAAGGGACAGGGTCTAGAAAGCCATTTTATAATGCATTTAAGTTCTCAATTTCTCATTTGCATTGGCAGTAACTTCAATTGCTATAATTATAAACAGGTTTTTATAAAAAATTATATTAGCAATAAATGTTGATTATCAAGTCTTTTATCATAGCTAGAGTCTTGCTTTTTAAAGATTATTCCATTGCAGGCACATGTGCTGCCAAGCACTCATCTGTTTTGTATTCTAGTACTAACTTTTTTATCCTCACTCTCATTTCATTGAAAAGTTTCTGGAGGGTGTGGTCAGAGGTAGTAGAGGTTACTGTTGTTTTGACAGACATATGGTATATGCTAGAAAAGCTGTGATTTATTTTGATTTCTCTTTTGCAGAGAAATTAATCAATACAATTCCTTCAGTCTTCCAAGCAATTAAAAAACTACCATTTTTTCCCCCAATTATTGCTTCAGACCTTTACTTGCTTAATTCAGATCTGTCTAGAACTCATCTTTGACATTTATGACCCTACTTTCATCTCTGGATGGCACTTAGAGCTCATACTCTATGATATCACTCACTCATAGTCTAAAGACACCCAATGAAGACAAAGACCAGGGAGAGAAAATATATATAAACGAACATAGCCTAAGTGAGAGGCAGAGCTGAGTCACAGCAGGAGCTCAGTTAGGAAGGATTTTTATTTTAAACCCAAGAAGAGCCTTAGAAGGCATTCAGGCCAATGCCCTCATTTTATAGATGAAATAAGGAGGTATAGAAAATGTGTCAGGATGACTTTGGCTGCAAGTGATTAAAAAAAAAAAAAAAAGAGCTGCTCAGTTTGGCTTAAACAATAAGGAAATGTATTCTCCCAGGTAATACGAGGTCCAAACAGTGCATCGAGGACCCCATAGCTGCTCCTGTCTGCGGCTCTCTTGGCCACGCCCCCTCCCACCTGTTAGCGTCAACTTCCGGACATGAGCAAGATGGCTGCAGCGGTTTCAGGACTTACAGCAGAGTCCTGGGAGTTGGGAAAGAAATGTAAAGGGAGAGGGAACGTGCGTCTTTTTCTTGAGTCTCTTTTCAGAAGCAAAGAATCCTGACCAAGAAGCCCTGAGACTTTCCCTCTTGTCACTTGCCCATTTTTAAAGCGTCGCTGGCAAGGGAAATGGGATTCCAAGACTGGCTTGGTTTTAGCCTTAGCCTAAGCCTGGGCTGGAATGAGTGCTGGGGAGTGAAGGTTAAATAAATTAGCCACAATCAAAACATGAATTGCAGGTCTAAGAGAGATGTTTATTCTTACATTTGTCCTACTACACTTCTAAGAATTTGTTTCTTTTTCTGCTCTCCAATGATGGACTCAACTCTTCGCTCTTTTTGCAAACTTTTCTGGGGAGCTTACTTGTTTTTGTAATTATCTTAGATTTCAGTGGAAGCAGCATAGGGTATTGGTAAGCATTCACTTTAGAGCCAGACTGCCCGTGTTCTATTTTCCTCTGAAGAACTACCCCTCTGCCATGGCGTATGATCTTGGCATAATTCTTACTCAGTATGAAGAGCTCCCAACCCACAGTGGGCATAAGATAGGCACAAGGACCAAGACAGGCTAATCTTACCATTTTCCCTTGGAATCTGTATCTTAAGCAGAATGACTCAAACAAAGAAAACAGTTAAAATCAGTCTATCTGATGTCAAGGCCTTAAAGAATTCCTGAATTCCTGCTTCCTAGAGCCCTAGAATTGTTTCATTCTTTCCAAAATCTGATTAATAATCCTTCCTTAGATTCTTTTAGCTACCTAGTACCCTTTAATAAATTCTCTTTTTGCTGAAATTAGCCAAAATTGATTTATGTTTCTTGTGTAATCATTATTTTGAACAAATAGGAGTCCCCAAATTAAATCACGAAGTAACTTTGTCTCTCATTTCTAAATCCATTCAGCAGTCTCTTATCTGGCACCTAAGCACACATAACATAGAAGTTAAGACAGCGGCTCTGAGGTCAAACATTCTGAACTCATCTCTAGCTCCACCTCCTACTATGTTACTTAATGTCTTTTTGCCTCAGTTTCTTTACCTATAAAATGGGGGAATAACCTCATTAGGTTACTGTAAAACTTAAAAATGACGTCCCAAAAGTGAAATGCCTTGAAGTGTACCTGGCACATAGTCAGTCCTGAAAAATGTGAACAGGGCAGATGGCAGCAGTCCAATGAGGTTGTGTCTCTTTTTTATAACCCATCACATAAGGCACTGACCATTTCTATTTCTATAGCTGTGTTCATGCCAGCCCTTGTCTCTTTTCTAAATCCTTCAAGACATAATTAGTTCAAGCACTACCACCTGCACAGGGCCCACATTGCTCTACAAAGACCACATAAACCTTTTACTTGTAGGAATTATAATTTGTAGCACATACATTAGTTTTGATTTCATATCATTTCTCTTATGGGTATAAATCATGACTCCCCAACAAGAAAAGTATTCCTGAAAGCAAGAATGAAATTTTATGTTCTTTACTATCCTTTATACTGCTTAGCCTAGAGTAAGGCTCACAGTAAGTCCTTAATAATTAACTTCTGAATTGCCCTCTGAACAGCTAAAAGTATTTCCAATCATAATTACTTCTGGATTTGCACAGCTGCAAGCCCTCAGCCCTGTAGTTTTATTGTATGTATAAACATACAAAAGGCAAGGTCTAGAACTTTTCATTTTCTTTCCACACTGGTGCACACACACAGGGCACCCAATATACATGTTATTAACTACCTACTAAAAAGCTGCAAACTTCAGGAGCTGCAAATCAATTCCAAATAAAATAGAAAATTCCAAATGTATCTGCTACTGTTGAGATTTGAAACTATAATGCTGAAAGATACTGTTTTATTTAAAAATCCAAAATATGAAGATGAGAGAAATAGATACTTTTAAGGCATTTTTTCCCTGTAATACATTTTTTTCAAGTAAAAGTAATTGTCAGAAGAATTGTTGATGAAAGACAAAGTCGAGAAGGTGACTACCATATATTTTTATTGTCGTTTCTGGGGAAATGTTCTTTTAGTTTTGAGACTCTGCATCACTTATGGTATACTATCTTCTCTCTTTGATTTCTCTAAGCATGTGAAAAAACATACTTAGCAATTAAAACTTCTCCCACTGATGTCCAAGAACATATCGGTTACATCTAAAAAGATGGCACCGTTTCATAGCTATGTGGGTTGCTTTACAGTCAACTAAGAAAAAGAAATTGAGGAAGACTAGGCTCAATTTCCATGTGAAACCATCTGTGAAATGGAGATGCTTAAACTAAGTCACTTAACCGATCCTGGAAACAAGCTTATGTTACATCTAAATGACAATTCTATAAAATTCCATACTTTCTGGCTTATTGTCATGTTTAATGGATATGGTTATTTTTTCTAAATGCTACCTACAATTAATTTTTCAACCAGACCAACTCTTCATTGCTTCCTTTCTGTAGGAATACTCAGTCTAGGAGAAAAAGAAAGGGGAAGAGGGAAAAGGATGAGATTTTTAAAAAACTGCATATCTTACTTGGCATGTGCAAGACAGCCTGGTGCAACCACATTGTGATTCTCCTCCGCATTCTGGAGTGCGGTGAGCTCTACCATGTTAACCATCACATCACTGGTGTGGCCTGGAAGCTGGGGAAGCGCTGAAATGATCTTCTCTACTAAGTTGTCTCCGTGATGTCCAACGGCTCCTGTTTAAGCAGACAAGAAAATATAACCTCACAAAATGGGAGGGCAAAGTAAGCTGGGTAAATATTTTATAATACCCCTTCCAACAAAAATAACCCAAACCTAATGTTTTGCCTCTTGTAACACTATTCACATTCACAATATCTAGTCAATGTATCATGGGTTGGACTTGGTGTTCCACGAGGACAGACATCATGTCTCCTCTGGTTACTACTAATATCTCCAGCACCTAGCACAGTGCCTACATATAGCAGGCATCAGTAAGTATTTGCTTGATAAATAAACAAATTAAATTATCAACATATAGCCAGTCAGGTAAATAGTGTCATAGTAATAATACTGTCCTGAAATTTGAAAGGTAAATTTTATTTTTATTTTACTGATGAAGACACTAAGGAATTAAGGGAGAAAGTCATGTGGATACCTGAAAGAAGAACATCCCAAGAAGAGCTGCAGAGAAATTTCAAAGACCCTGAGGCTGGGGCATGCTTGGCATGTCTGAAGAATGGCAAGGTAGCCAGTGTGCCTGGAAAGTACTGTGTGAGAAAAGATCAGTGGGAGACGACGTGGGAGAGAGAAACACAGGCAGATCATGTCTATCCTTGAAAACAATAGCAAGCGACTTAGATTTGACAGTAGGCATGATGAGAGAACATGATGAGGGAGGGCTGGGTGCAAGCAAATGGTATGTCATATTTATGCTTTAATGGGATCACACATTAAAGTGGTTTAAGTGGTTGCTTATCTGTATATCTCTTGTACTTTTAAAATTATTTTTACTATTTGCAGCTTTACTGTGTCAAAAGCTGCTCTGAAGTTCAGGAAAATGAGTGTGATAATTGAACATTGGATTTGGTGATA